GGGGATTTAGCTCAGCGGCAAAAGCGCCTGCCTGGCAAGCGCAAGGTTGTGACTTCGGTTCCCGGTACCGGAGAAAAACCAAAAAAAAAAAAAAACCAAAAAAAAACCCAAAAAAAAAACCATAATAAAACAAAACCAAATCTATTTTTCTGTAGCTGTAGAATATAGACTTGGAGAAAAAAAATCCAAGTAATAAATCCTTTCTTCTATGTCTGCTTTCTCTTTTTTGTTAAGATAGAAGATTATTATTTTTTTTATTTTTTTATTTTTTTGGTATTTTTGAGACAAGGTCTCGCTATGCAGTTCAGGCTGGCCTTGAGCTCACTTTGTAGCCCAGGCTGGCCTCAAACTCTCAACAATCCTCCTGCCTCAGCCTCCCGAGTGCTGGGATTACAGGCGTGTGCCACCATGCCCGGCTCACAGTATTATTTTCTAAAAGTGACTTTTTCTCTATTTTTGCCAACGCTGGTTTTTACAAGGAGATTTTCAAGACATTTACCAGACTCAACAACCTAACTCTGGCTGACACATTGACTTCCCAGGAAAAAAATTAATGGACTGAGCTTCACTTGTCATTGTTTTCTCACATGAATATTAAATCTCAATTTACTACTTCAACTTCTGTAATATATAAAAATACTGTAAAAATTCAACAGATTTGTGTTTTTAAGCAATAACAACACCACTAAATGCAAGGCACTTAATGAAAGGGGTGAATGCCTTATAACATTACCAATAAGAATAGAAATCAACACATATTGATTACACATAGGTTGAAGACAGCAGATTAAAATGAAATTACTGAAATTTATTTACTTTTAATTAAAATTTATGCTCATCTTTCTTCACAATCATATTAGCAATTTATTTCAATATGGAAAGAAATGCAATACCTCATGTTTTTAGATTATTAATGTTTTATTTGAAATCCCATTCAGTGCCCAACACTTACCTCTGCATTATAAAATTTAGTTTTCACATCCAGTGGTTTGAGAACCTGGATAGATAAAGCAAATTAATCAGGAAATTCCTATCATTTGACTATATTGTTGTTGATTTGTTTCAGACTACAGGCCTAAATCTGTCAGAATCATTTTCCAATTTGTTAGAAAGATGTGTAAATGGGTATGCAATATTCTTGGGCAAAAAAAAAAAAACCCTAAATGAATTTTTTTATGGAAAGGCTGTCATCATTTCTGGACTGGGTGACAGTTACATGGATGTTTACTTCAAAACATTTCATTAAACATATCTTACCATAAAAACTTTGAAAAGACAACCAATTATTTTATTTTCTTTTAAAAGGTATTTGTATGATTGATGAAGCAAAATAACAGCAAAGTTATTTTCCTATCGATAGGACTTTTCCCCCCATTTATAGAATAATGAAAAAATACCTATGTAGCTTCATATCTAGATCTGTAGGTATGTTGCTATATGTGGTATTCTTGTATTCCCATCTATACATATATGAACTGAACCAGTGGTTTTTAATGAATGTTAAATATTATGTCTTAATACAAAATTGTACCTAAAGTCCTAGTGACTCGAGTTCTTAAAAAAAAAGCTTGATTTACTCACCCTAAGAAAATAATGTTTCATTTAAGTATTTCATTAGAAGTTTAATACTACTTACAAGCCTCTTGTCTGGGCTTTAGACTTGTTAAGTTATGTAAATAAGGTACCTTATGAAATACCTTATGAAAATGAGGTATTTTAAAACTTACAGTAAAAATTAATTTCATTTCAAAGATATTACACTGGTGATGATAATTTTAATTATTTAACTAAATTTAGCCTGATATGTTGGATATGGTGATGCATGCCTATAATCCCAGCACTTGGGAGGCTGAGGCTGGAAGACTGTCTGGAATTGGAAGCCAGCTAGGGCTATATAGTGAGTTTAAGATCTGCCTGAAGTATGATCCAGTAGCAAGACCCTGTCTCAAAAACCCACACCTCCCCAAAAATGTACTCTGACATTGCATTACTAGTAACATGACAATCCCATGTAATGAGATATTTCGTTCATTTGAAGCTTGGTTTCCCAACAGATAGGCAGGAATAACTATACTTCCAAGAAAATAAAAGGACTTTAAAAACTATTAATCATTGTCATATTCAGTACCTGAAATTTGAAGAATTTTCTAAAGTACATTTTTTCTCCACCCTGAGTTGTATAACTCACGGCACATACCAAGCTGAAAGAGAAAGATACCTTAATGATTTGCAATCATTTTCAACATCATTTCTCAGTAGTAAGTACAAAAACTTCAATTCCACTTTCAAATGTGGGGAAAATTTTTTATCAGTGATGTGAAACTTTAGCCAAATGAGATTAAAGCAGAAAAAGAAAACTTTCAGCAAATGGAGATATAAATACATGAACAAGCAAGCTTTTGACTAGTGAAATGAGATAGCATTTTTGGCGTGGGAACAGCCATATAGTTAAATGTTAAATGAGTTCATCTAAGGTAGAAAAATATACAGATTTTTAAGGAAATTCCAGGATAGACTACTTAACATAAATACATTGAAAAATATCATGTAAGAAACCTTAAATTGCATACATAAAACACTAAACCAATTAAAAACAGAAAACAAACTTAGATATAATACTTGTAACAATATGAGAAAATTAGACTGTTAATATATAAAGGGTTCCTATAAGTTAATGAGCAAAAGCATCACTGTCTCACAATATGAGTGAAGCAATACATATATGCATCACAGTCCCATAACAGGCTGACCAAGATGTGAAAAAGTTCAACTTCAAGGACAGTCAAAGAAACACATTAAAATAATGAGATAGAACTTTTCCATCTATACAGATTTGGCAGGAATTCTTTGTAAGTGATATCGGGGTTGGTGAGGGTTTAGAGAAACTGACTCTACACTGCTAGTGGTTGAATGGAATTTAGAAAACAATTTTTTTGATAAACAGTCTTTAAAATACTCATATGCTTCCATAGAACATCACTGTAAGTAATTATAAGGAAATACTGAAGTATTCATTACTGTACTATTTATAGCAGTGAAAAACTGAAAATAACCTAAATGTCCAAAATTAGGTAAATAAAGCACACTGTGCAAATGTGGAAGATTCAGTCACTGAAAAAGTAATGTTCTCAAATACCGACTGATGCAAAAATGCTAAATTATTACCATGTCAATAAATTCAACTTCAACAAATACTGCCCACTGTTCTCTGTTAGGTCCTGGGAATATAGCAGAGTTCATAAACCTCACATTTAATGGGGAAGGCAGCACTCATTAAGTAATTGGAAGAACAACAGACACAAATAAGCTGGAAGTTGTAGTTACTATATACAAAGGTTAGGAAAGCCTCTTTGAGGAAATCATGCTGGTCCAGGAGATAGGCAAAAAAAAAAGGTAAATGGAAATTATACAAAACGCCATGGGCATTCCTCTGTATGAGAACACATTTCAAGCCCTACAGTTTGGAGGTAACAAAAGTCCAATATGACTGCTGAGAGAAAGGAAAGTGTGAAAAAAATGCTATAAGAATTAGACTATAAGGAGAGCTTTGAAACATATACACAAACCCAGAATTTCCAAAAGACAATGGGAAGTCACTGAAGAGATAAATGACTTCTACAAGATCATATAATAAGAATGTCTCAGAAATCTGAACTGTAGGAATGTTAACTCCAAAGCTCAGACCAATCACAACTACCTACAGCAGATCTCTGCATCAAAATTAATTGATCAAGTAGTTACCTATTATTTATACTTAATATAATACCTATATTACATGCTTTCATGGTTACAAAAAGGAGAAGCAAAGAAAAAGATGAAAGCAGAGATGAGGCAAAGGTGGTAATATATTTGTCTTTCAGAATTAAAGAAAAATACAGCATTCATATTCGAATACATAACCAGGCCAGGAATACAAAATACAAAATATATTTTTGTATTTGAGACTTTTTCCCACACCTTTCCCTAGCTTTGGTTCTGTATTTCTGAGTTCCCAGGCAGTGTAAGTACACAGTTAAATATAACACTGAAAAATCTTCAATTTAAAAACAAATGCTAGGAACATCAGTTGCTGGCATTTCAAAAAATAATCAATGTACTTTCAGTCAGACTGCTGAGTTTTAAACATTGGCAAGGCTTTTAATTTTTCAGATAAGATTGCAGATGCAAAAATTAAGCTAGTTAAGTAATGATAAGTTTTATTCATTTTTCCTATATAAAATCTTGTTTAAAGTTTGTTTCTGATAAATATATACAAACAGAAAATAAAATTCCTTTTGAAGTGAATAGACAACAAAAATGTCAAGTAAATTATAAGTGACAGTCTTTGAGAAGTAGTAAAATTAATCCTTACATGTGTGTCCCAATTTCCTTTACTTCGTGGTGTATGACATCATCAATACAACAGTCAGGTTTAAGTTCAGTCACTGCGGCGTTGGAAGCTGAAAGATTTAAACGCTGAGAACTTGTCTGAAGATCAGCCTTGAAAGAAAGAGGGAAGGGACCCAAATGGACTGGTTATTACAGGGCACGGACAGGTATGGGTGGAAAAAATAGTGGGGTAGGGGGATAAGAACAAGGCGGTAGGAATGAAAGGAGAGCATTACCTTTCTTTGCAAACCTTTCTGTATAGTTCTGATGCTTAGACCTATAGCAATGGTACGCAACGCCTCCCCCTCCAAAAAGAAATAATCAGGACTAATTTAAAATGGACTAGAGGGGCTGGGGATTTAGCTCAGCGGCAAAAGCACCTGCCTGGCATGCGCAAGGTTGTGAGTTCGGTTCCCGGTACCGGAGAAAAACCAAAAAAAAAAAAAAGGACTAGAGAGAGTTAATATATAATCCTAACTATTACAAATGAGAAACACAACTACAGTACAGGGAAGAGAAAGAAAGAATGAATTAACCTAAGTAAATTTAGAAAATAAAATCCTGACTGTAGAAAATAGAAATCCAGACAAAACACAAGAATGGTATATAGACATTGTGCTCAGCTGTTGTTTCTGTTTTCATGTAAGTTTGGAGCTTTGCGCAGTGGCAGTATCGGAGCCAATGAGATTTATCCGAGGTGCGATTATTGCTAACTGAAAACTTTTCTCATGTAAGTTTGGAATAACGGTTGTGAAACTATATATATACTAGAAGCAGACAAAAAAATAAGGAAAGGGGGAATGTTGCAAACGAAACCTTTGGTGTTAGATTAGAATTTGAGGCGTCAGTACGGACATATAGTTTTAAAACACATATGCAGGTGAATTTTACCAAAACAGAGATTGACAGGTGTATAACACTGAAAGATAAGTAGTCATCTAAAACAGTACTAGATGTCAGAGACAAATTAATTTATTCCTAGAGAAGAAGGGGTAGAAAAGGAAAGGAAATAGCCAATCCACTCATTTTTCTGTCAAAATGGTCTCTCGTTCCCTCCCAGTAAGTTCTCCTTTGTCATCTTCTAACATTAATCTTAACTACAATGCAATGTATATATGGCTGAATGCTTTTGCATTTATCTTTTTTGGCTATTATAAATAATGTTGTATTGAACATCTATTTCCAAATGACCTGCCATATGCCAGAGCCTGTTCTAGGAGTTACAGATACCTCAGTGAAAAAACAGATCAAAATCCCTGTCCCTGTTTATATCCTCTGGAAAGGAGGTGAGGAAGACAACTGATACTATACAAAGAATATCCCAGGATGTTAGCAACTAGTACACGTCTTGGGAGAAAAATGGCAGAATAAAGTGGTAGTGATGGGCTGGCTTGGGACGAGCAGTGCAATTTAAATTGCATGGTAGGTTTCCTGCTGCAGGCTGATTTTGGAAGAGTAAGACTTACACAGGAAGAGAGGAAAAGAGAAGAGGGGAATTATTTCAAGTAAGATCAATACAGCTAGGAAAACACAATTGTGAAGGCTCAAGATGTCTTTAGGAAGCCATGGAGTGCTTGATATACTTAAAAGCGGGCGGGGGGGGGTTCATATTCATGAGAAGAGAAAAAAATAAAACCTCTAGACTAAGTTGCAAGACAACAGAGAATGCATGCTATAACAACAGTATATAAAATCATGCCTGGCATAGGTGTTTGTTGAATGCATGTGTGAATGATTAGTTTAGACCAGTGGTTCTCCAAATATGGGTCTCTGGCCAACAGAGTCAGTGTCACCTGGGAATATGTAAGAAATGTAAAGTGCTGGGCACTGTGCCAGATCAAATGGTTCAGAAACTGCAGTGGAGCCCAAGGGGTTTTACCAAACCAGATGATTTTGATGCCTACAAAAGGTAGTGAAGCACTGGTACAGCCCATTAGAATTACTATTGTTTAAAGCTCATAGTATGCTAATTACAGCATTTTCTTAATGGAATCCATTTCATTTGGTAGCACGCTCACGTTTTCAGACTTATTTTTGAGACTGTTTTTGTGGGTGGAGGTAGGCAGAAGTGAACCCAGGTCCTTCATTTCATATGGAGCTACCTACACAGCCCTTTTGTTTTCTGTTTTATTTTGAGACAAGGTCTCGCTAAATTAGCCAAGTTACTCTTCAACTTGTGATCCTCCTGCCTCACCTTCTCACACGCTGGGATTACAGGAGTGCTTTACATGTCCAACTGAGATTTTTCTTTTTATGAAGGTGACAGTAAAGGAATGAAAACTCCATATCACAATCTATTTCCACAAGTTCAAAGTTTGAGGAACTATAAAAAATAAAAGTTTTGATGGCAGAATTCTGGGTACCTAAAATATAACTGTGAGTCTTCCAAAATACCCTCAGGAATATAAACATAGAAAAAGAAAAAAATAAAACTGTACAAAACATTATGTTACTGTCCCTAGAAGGCAGCAAACATACAAACTTCAAATAACAGGTATGGGCTGTATAAATAAGAAGTCTACTTAATCTAACAAAGATCCAAATAAAAAATGCAGAAAATGGGGCAGGGAAAGAGGAAAGTAGTGCAACCAGCAGGTGAGAGTGAAAGGATATAATTAAACACTAAATGCCCTCTAGTAAAAGGTAAGTCAGAAAACAAGTAAGTGGGAAGGCAGGTATTTTTGCATTATAAAAGCAAGAAATATTGGGGGTGGGTATATACAAAGGCCAGTGCTGGGAGGTTGAGGCAGGAGGATCGTGAGTAATGGGGTGACTTAGCAAGAACTTGTCCCAAAAAAGTAAAACAAAAGGGGTGGGTGTTAGCTCAGTGTGAAGAACCTGAGTTCAATCCCAAGTACCAAAAGAGAAGAAAAAAATAAATACAAAGGTAAAAACTAGAAAAAAAACAAACATAAATTCCCTAAATACCAAAGGACATTTAAAAACTAAATCAGCAATAAAAACACAAAATTAAAAACACGGCAAACCCTGGCATAGTGGTGCATGCCTGTAATCCAAGCACTCGGGGAGGCTGAGGGTGGAAGATCGCTGTGAGTTCCAGGCCAGCCTGGACTACGTAGCAGGATCCTGTCTCAATTAAAAAAAAAAAAAAGGCCCCCGGCAAACCACAGCAAACACAACATAATATACTTTAAAACCTTAGTATAAAATAATGTGACAGCAATGAAACCAAGCACATCAAACTTATTAATAACCTTATCTACTCTCATCAAATGAGTTTTGTTACAGCGACAAGAACCCAATATATCCCTATGCCTCTGCCTGATTACTATGTCCTCAACTTTTTCTTTATATCCTAACATTCCTTGAAGTTTCTCTTGCTTTTTCTCCTCTCCAATAAGCCTTCAGACTGGTAACAATCCCCACTGATCTTTCTTCCTCTTTCTTTTTTGGTTTCTTTCCGGTACCAGGAATCGAACTCACGACCTTGCACTTGCCAGGGAGGCACTGTGCCACTGAGCTAAATTCCCAGCCCCTTTCTTCCTCTTTCAAGTATTACGGTAATATTAATATATTATGGCACATATATTAACAAGAACTATTTACTTCTGACAGTCATTTCTTCATCCAAGCTATCATAAACTTTGATTTGTAACAATGAAAAATTCCAGCATCAACCATGCATTTTTAGCCAGGAGTGGTGGTGGCAAACATGAGTAATCCCAGCTGTTAGGAAGTTGAAGCGGGGGGAACAAAATTTAGTGGGCAGCCTGGGCCCTTACTGAGATCCCTCTCAAAATAAAATAAAAAGGGGTAGGACTGAAGTTCAGTGGTAGATCATTTGCCAAGCATGCTTGAGGCCATGGGTTTAATTTCCACCAGTACTATGCCTAAAAAAAAAAAAAAATCAAAACAAAACAAAAAAACACTTTAATGAGCTTTATACAAAATAAAATGCATTCTGAACAAAAATATTACTCACTTTTACCAGTATATCTTTTACAACTTGATTACTATCATTATGAACGCTGATATAACTGGAAAAGGTCTCTCCCAAAAATATATTCCTGTGAAATAAAGTAAAATTGTAAGCAGAAATTCAGCCAGGGTTTACCACAAATATAGTGTGTGAGCACTACTTAGTAACTTCAAATGGAGAAACTTTACTAAAGGATAGAAATCAGGTGAAACGCTGCTTTAGCATCCCTTTATTTATAGGAGGCTGCTCATTTATTTACCTAGTCAATTTCAAAGTAAAACTGCATTTCACATGTATAGCTGGATAGGCTAGAATCAATTCTCCATTTTAAAATAACTTATGCTTTGAATGTAAAGAGATCCAGGCTAATTCATCTTGTAGTAATTTTTACCAATTTGTTTTACTTACTAAGTTATTCTAATAAAATGACCAGTGGCTTTAATCTATATTGTTTTACACTCAATACATGAATAATTTTCAAGTTTTCAAGACACTAATCCATGAACTTATTTTAAAGTCTTAAAAAAAAAACCTGAAATGTTCTTCTCTGTCTCGAATTTCTTCAATTGCAAAAAGAGTGGAACCTGCAGTTTCTACCTCAACAATAATCCAGAATAAGCAAACAGCTAAGAACAAGAAAAGAAATAAAATTTAAAAAATCTAGAGTTCCTTAGTTAGCTGACAAATCTGTTGGGAATTATTTTTTGAAAACATGATTTGTAGTGGCTTTAATATACTGTTGTGTATCTTACATTATAATATTCTTCTTACCCAAAATTTTGTGGTAGTGTTAACATTTCTCCCAACATTAAAATTTCTGCACCATTTACTGTTGAAGGATCATCTCTCATTAGCTGGTTAAAGAGATCTCCTGTAGGAAGAGAAAAACATAAAATTGTAACATCTACCTTTTAAATAATCTTCCTTACATAAAAATATAGTTGAGGGGCTATGGGTATAGCTCAGTGGTACAGCTCTTGTCTAGCTTGTTCAAGGGTCTGAATTTGATCCCCAGCACCTCCCAAAAGACATAGCTGGAAGAGATGTCAGTATATTTTTATAATGTATAATGTCGTATTAATCTTTACTATGAAGAGAGTCTATCAAAAATTGTGATCTCACAGAATGAACACTTCAGAAACAAAGAAAAATGCAGGTCATGAGATATACAATATACTATATAAAGCACCAATAATTCTAAGCAAAAGTAGGGCATGGTGGCACATGCCTGCAATCACACTACTTGGGAAGCTGAGGCAGGAATATCACCATGGGTTTAAGGCCATCCCAGGCTATGCAGTGAGTTCAAGGCTGGGTTGAACTATATAGCAAGATTGATTAAAAAACAAACAATTCTAAGTAAAGATAATGCTATATTTACAGTGATGAAACATTTAAGGGTAAAGGCAATATTTCAATAGTGTTATGAATATGATGTATCTTTTTACTTAAAACCAAAGGCTCTTGTTACCATAGGACATCAACAGTATCTTGACTTACGGATTATAGTGAGGCCAATTACTTAGATGGTACAAAAAACACAACAAAGAAGTCAACAAAGTGTTAGCATAAGATTGAGAAGGCTAAGTTTACTGCAAGAAAATGTAGGTAGTTCAGGTTTCAACTCTTCCCTTGATGCAAACACAGTAAGCACACGCCATACATACCAGGTAAATCTTTCTCCTCACATGTTACTGGAATATTGGTGAATAAAGTAGGCTTAGTCAACCGCATCACTAAGAATTGAGAAAATAAACAACAAAAACCATTAATATTGTTTTGGGCTAATATTTTTGGGTTCAGTGTATAGCATTCATCAATTTCATACTAGTATTAAATATCTAAATATTACATAGTTGGTAATATTATCACCTATTTAAAATGTTAATTATGTGTTGGATGACATGGAGCAGGCTATAATCCTGACTACTCAGGAAACTGAGTTGGACAGATACAGAGTTTGAGGGAACTTAATAAGACTATCTCAACATTTAGAAAGCAGTGGGAGGAAGTCTGGGAATGTAGTACAGTGGTAGACTTGCCTAGGATGCAAGAATCCCTGGGTTTAACCCCCAGTACCAACAAAAGAAAAGAAAGAAAGAAAGGAAGAAAAGTTGTTATGCAATAAAAATGTATAACCAAAAGAGAATAATTTTCCTTTTTTTACAACTATCAAAACTAACTACAAATGTAATACATTATATAAAAACTGGAAAAAAATGTTAAGCTTAAGGTATATTAGGAACACAAGGTTTATTCTTTTCAAATTTTAATTTTTATTAGTACATGTTTGCAGCACATAATGACCACATTCATCATGGGAAGCTGGTACATATACATGACACATATTAATTCTTTTTTCATTCCCTTCCCCTTTCCCTCCAGCTCCTGATCTCCTTCTGTTTTGGGGGAAAATATATATAGACACATTTCCCTGTCCTAATATTTATCTTTTATTTATGTGGAGTGACTTCATTGTAAACTATCAATAAACTATTAACCTGAATCAGCCTGTTATCAGGAAAACAAGTTCAGACATACCATTTTAATTATGAAACAAGTTTATGCCAAGATTTTTTGAGCTTTCTTAATCATAATCATTGGAAACTCAAAAGGTTTCCCTTTAATATTAATTCTGTATAAGTATGGTAATATGAGCTAATACATAGGCTTACATAATTTCAGCCAAAACTAAGATTTTAAATTTACTAATTTATTTCAATATCAGAAAGCTGTACATGCTCAAATAGTAAAATAAACAAATATTAAAGCATGAGAAAAAGAGGAAAGAATTGAATTGTTTATTAAATCTAGTGTGGGTAGGACATTCCAATTTTTTAATGAATTTTTTTGACTATTTCTAAAGACCACTATTTGAACACAACTAAATAAAGACAAATGTAAAATTAAAACTTTTTCAGAAAATAAAACACAGAGGTTATTATCTTTATACTTTATTAGAAATATTCATTCAAAGCAAAACCAAGAAGTTTAAAATAGTCCTAAATGGTTAATTCACAATATAAATGCTATTTACTAGCACATGAAAAAGTGTACCACAACTTGTAATTAGGAAGAGCATATCAAATTTCATGTGTTTTTCACCTCGGTCTCATCTTAAATAGCACCTGTGTTATGCTTTGTGTCTAGGTACCCCTCCCAAAGTCTCTTGTTGTCATAAGTGGGGGTTTGCAGAGGTGGCTGGATCTAGTGTGTGTGATGCTAGGTTTAAGGATGTGTGATTACTGAATTAGTCCACTGAATGCTTTGAAACAGTGCTGGTTACGGATAACAGGAAAGCCTACCTGGGTGTGAGTGCTAAGGACAGGTAGTCTGGATAGAATATAAAGAACAGATAGAGGGCTGCTCTGGTCACTTGCTGCCTCATTACTTAGCTGCTTGCTGCCTTCTGTTTGCCATGTTTCTCCTCTGTGATGCCCCTCTGCCTGCCATGCTGCTCTCCCGGCCTTATAGCCAGGCAACTATGGTCAGAAACCTCTATAAACAAGTGAGCCAAATAAAACATTTCTCCTTTAACTTTGAGTGGCAGGTATTTTGTTTCAGCAATGAGAAAAGTAACTAAGACAACCATTTTCTGAAATAAAAGATCACACTGTTTCTTTGAAAGAATCTTGCATTTATCATGAACTATATTTATTATAACACTCCTCTGCAAACTCCATAAGGTCTAGGCATCACATTCAATTTTGCAGCCTCCATTTTTTTTTTTATAGATAAGAGTCTTACTATGTAGTTCAGACTGGCCTTGAATTTGTGGCGATCCTCTGGCCTAAACTTCCCAAATGCTGGGATTACAGGTATGTGTCACCACGCCCAGTGCAGCCTTTGTTTGACACATGTTCTGGCACACAGTATACTCTATGAGTTCTTTGATGAATGAGAAAGCATCAGCATCTTCCCAAGAAACTGGCATTATCTTGAATGCATAGTTTTCATGAACTGAAACCATTAAACAACTAGTTATAGTGGCAAGGGATATGGCTCAGCGGCACAGCGCCTGGCTGGCAAGCTTAAGGTCCTGAGTTCGATTCCCAGTACCAAAAAACAAAACCCAACCAGTTACATGAACTTGTGAATTCACATTCTATAGCAAGCATTTACTGAGTATTTACTAGCACCAGGCATTATGCTAAATGCTTTAAAAGTATTAATGCATTTAATTCTCATTATGCTCTGCAAGACTGGTGTAATTATTCCCACTGTACAGAGCCCAGAGAATGCCTGGTGGGGGTAATTTGCACAAGAAAGATTATACAGCAGATAAATGGCAGACCCTAGATCTTCACTCAGCTGAACGACTATTTAAAAATTATTCTCTGAAATATAGTAATTATTAATTATAAGCCTGGGATCATAAATCTGGATGTCACGCCTTATCAGAAATATCCCATAGAATTCAAAGTAGGACTTTTTACAAAAACACAGTATTAAGCAAATAGAGATCTATGGGTACATTTGTTAGTGCAGTTTCCAACTTTGTCTTACTTTCAACTAGGAAACCAGTTAAAAATATTAAGCAGAATCTGAAGCTAAACAGGTTGCCTGAAAGTTATACAGGAGGCAGTTTCTCTGAATTTAAATATCAAAGATTCTCAGCTCAGTTTTAATACCAATTGTTATTTGCTGGGTTTTCCTCATTTTTTCTAATTTCAGGAGAAATCAAATCTTAACAAAAAAATACACTCTCAAGAGAATTCTGAAAAACTTTTTAAAATGTGCTTGAGTACTCAAATATATATAGGCTTGACTTTCTGTTGTGTAGAAAAATTATTGTAAAGTTTAATTTTCCCTTATTCTTTTTTTGGGGTACTGGAAATCAAACTCAGGACCTTGCACTTGCCAGGCAGGGACTGCACTGCTGAGTTATATCCCAAGTCCTAGTTACCCCTTTTTCATATGATTTATTATGGGATGAGATAGTGGGAGTTAGGTGGGGAGCAACCCTCCATTAAAAATGAAAAGATTGGCTGGGTGTGATGGCACATGCCTGTAATCCCAGCACTCAGGAGACTGAGGCAGGAGAACTTCCTGGAGTTTGAGGCCAGCCTAGGCTACACAGTGAGTTTAAGGCCAGCCTCAACTACAGAGCAAGACCCTGTCTCTTAAAAAACAAAAAAGAAAAAAGAAAAGATTTCACTGGTACATCCCTGTAGTTCCACATTTGGGAGACTGATGCAGGACTGCCATGAGTTCAAGGTCAGCCTGGGCTACATACTGAGTTCAAGACCAGGCTAAACTACATAGTGAAAATCTGTCTCAAAATTAACCCCCAAAACAAAAAAAACTCAAGCTGGATGTGGTGGCACATGCCTGTAATCCCAGCATCTAGGAGGCTGAAGCAGGAGGATCACTGAGCTACATAGTGAGACCTTGTCTCCAAAACACAAAGCAAAACTCAAATTGGTATTTAAAGAACCACTTTTCTTCTGAAACACTTGATAGGAACTAGCACCTTGTGGATTCAAAAGAATTACTATAAAAACATTTTATCATATTATAGATTTTTTTTTTTTTTTTTTTTTTGCACGGCTGGGGATTAAACCCAGGGCTTTGTGCATGCTAGGCAAGTGGTCTACCACTGAGCTACATCCCCAGACCTATTACAGACTTTATAACCTAAGGAATTTGAGTAAGTGACATAAACTAATACATGAACTTCTAAATCAGTTAGGGTTTCATTACAGTTCTATAGAGAATAACCCAAAATATGCCAATATCAAATACAGATTTAAAACTCAGTATTTCCTGTCTTATAAGTTAATGGACCTCAGAAATCAAACAAAATGTTAGTTGGAAAAAAACAAATGCTGTATCAATAAAAGCAAGGTTTAAAAAACCCAAAGAAGTAGGTATGGAATAACTTTATATTGTCTTGAAAGTTAAAGTGGGTTCTTAATTAAACAAAGTATACATTTTGGCATCGTAAATTGAGTAAAAAGGTGATCTTTAGTAGAGTCAAATATTTAATATTTTATCCAAAATCATATTAAAAAACTTTTTTGTAGACCATCAGTAAAATAAGACAAAATAGGTCTTCAGAGGTCAAAAAGCAGCAAAGTAGGCCAAGTACAATTTGCATATATTTTGGCTGACCAGAATATTAAAAAAAACTTAGGTGGAATCTTCTTCAGAGTCTGTACACGTTCTACAAACCTTACCTGTTTATCCCTGGAGGCATTCAAGTTTTTGAATGCTGCAGGACTCTTTTGCATTTTGTATAGATTAAGTTAAACTGAACCACTAGGCAGGAACTCACCTTGGAAATTTCAAAAAAAATTTACCATTATTTGCTAAGTTGGCAAATGAAGTTATTCCACTCCTCTGTACTTTGTCTATTCCCTTTGAATTTGACTTTATCTCACTAAAAGGTAGATGACTTATGATGAAAAAATAAAATTATGATACGACTGCTACTTTCCTAAATACTTATGGTATTTTACCAAATGTCCTCACAGGCTTACCTTTCTATACTTGTGATTGTTTCTGCAATATGTGTATGACTCCGTGAAACAAACAAACAAACAAAAAATTACTGGGTCCTGCTACTTTTAGTGCTAGAGTCACTAGTTATGAGGTTCTAAATATGCTAAAAATACTCTAAAGAAATAATAGTGGGTTTTAAGTTCTTAGGCCTTGATTATTTAAGGTAGATAAGAAATTAATCTTTTTTAAAGATCCTTGCACTGTTTGAACTAAAATTCATTCCTTAATTTCC